AAACCAGCAAAGGACCAGCATAAACCAGCAAAGGACCAGCTTAAATCAGCAAAAGGACCAGCATAAACCAGCAAAGGACCAGCCTAAATCAGCAAAAGGACCAGCAAAGGACCAGCATCCCAGCGTCAAAACATACCTAACCAGCCTATGCTGGTTTTTTCAACAGGGATTAGCCTACTATCTTGGCTTGTCTAACGTTATCATTATCAAATTAATTCAATAAAGCTGGACCTGCTAAACATGCACTACGTGTCTGAAATAACGCAAAAGGTCTGTATAACTGGCTTTCCTCTACTTTGGAAGCCGAAAGGCCATAATTCTGGGGGTGACACATTGTTCAGCTGCTCAGGCAGCGCACAGCACGAGTCGTATTTCTCAGTTGAAAGTGACGTTACTCGTTTGGCACAAGTTATCTATCGTCAGAGTGGGAGTTACTTTCAACTAACTGTTGGGACGCAGCACGGACTACATAGACAAACAGAACAAACTCTCCCTTAATAGTTGTGGCATTGCATAACAGTTTGTGGACATATTCTGGTGAAGTCGGAGCAGATTAGTGCCAGGACGGAAGACTGAAGAAAGTTTAACAAACGCCGAGGCGCTGAATCACATTTTCCATCAAGATATACAATGCATTTTTTTCATTGTAAACCCGCTTTTTGAGTTTTGTATCGAAACAATCAAACGCGACGTCTTAAGAAATTATTCGTTCATTTCTATATATTTTTAAGTTCGCTTTACAGAAAACGTTGGCTAATAATTAAATGTTTTAATAGTTGAATCGATGGTCTACATGTTTAGTCGTTAAATCGAAGCGAAATTTTCATTTATATAAATTAGTAACCAAATCGAGATACTATTTTTTCGCCATGTAGCTTTTTTTGCCCCCACGATTCTGAGATGGCTGTGTTGTGGATTTGTGCCGTGGGAGGAATGTGAGTGGAAGTGTCGCTCATGGAGCTTCAGGTGGTGTGCGGATTGCTCTACTGCTGCCTGCTGCCCATCTTTTTACTGGCAGGTAAGACCTCAACTTGTATTATACCCACCCCTATACACAATACAGACAAACAAGAATTGTTTTCAAATTAAATCCCTAATAACATTTGCTTTCATTTTATCTTGCCATAACAAATTAGTTAGACGCAGGGGTGCCCAAACCCGGTCCTGGAGGACCAGAGTTTAGCTCCAACCTCAATTAAACACACCTTAACCAGCTAATCAAGCTCTTATAGGCGTACTAGAAACTTACCAGCAGGTGTGTTGAGGCAAGTTGGAGCTAAACTCTGCAGGACACCTGGACCGAGTTTGGGCACCCCTGAGTTAGAGTCAACAAGATGAAAAAGTAGAAAACTATTTTAAAACGCTAATGCCAAGTTCTTCAAAAACACTTTGCGTTTCTTTGTATCCACGTTTCATACATTTTAAAACGTTTATACCATTTTACACCAACAAACAACATTATTCAGTGGCTCCAAAAATGTCAAGTGGTGTAACCATGAAACTTTTGAACCATTCCTTACACCCTGAATCCACTTATAAATACGTTTTGCGTAAAACAATCAGTTTGGGGCTAAAATGTGTGTATTATATAGTTTTTATTTTTTATTTTTAGAAGTACAAATATTCCTTGTCTTACATCTGGTTATAAAAACTGCACACATCTTAGGTGAAACACACACACACACACACACACACACATATATATATATATATATATATATATATAGGACAATTCCAAGGACCCGATGAGGAAGAGGGGGCCCGGAACACGATTTTTAACATCTAATCACTCTTGCACTTGAGGTTCATTGAATGTGTCCCACTGAGTGCAGTGGATGATCTCACCTTATTCAGGTGTTTGTTTAGCAAACACGCCCGAGCAGCTCACTTCTGGGCCTGAACTTATTTAAGGATACATCATGCATTCCTGCTTCCCAGTTTGCAACTCGCATCTGTTTTCTTTCTCAGACCTGTTTTACTGTCTTCTCACGCAGTTCTTTTTCTGCGTAATTTGCTTGCATTCTACCGAGCACAAATACTTTCATGCTTGTGGTGTTTAAGGCTCACCTCCCATGAAGAGTCTAATTATGTGCTTTTCACACTTGAAATCGTTAAACCAAGGTCATAGTTCTTACTGGGTTGCTAATTAATCTTGTAATTTCACACTGCACATGTGTAATCGCTGGGTTAACATTCTTATTTTTAGATTTACAACATTAATAATATTAAATGGAAAAGTCTGGCATGTAACCTGTTTTACTAACTCACAGCCAACATTTCATGGTACGGCCTATATAGACACGATATGGGCTTGAGGTATGGGCTTTAAAAGGGTTTGTCCATGGGTTCCATGTTGTCCCTGTCTTAATTAGCCCATATGAATCTCATGTATAGTCTGACTGGGGCTAATTCAAATAGAATATTGGCGCTGCCATGAAATATTAGCTGTATGTCCTATGTCTGTGTACATAACACTCCAGTAAATGATAAAAAATTATTTAACACAACAACCAATCAAGTAAATTGGGAATCAAGTAAATCCAGTGCTCTCTACAATCTACTTAAGTCTGGAATACACTACATGACTTTTAAAATCTGAATAGATTTTACAGGAAAATGCAGAAATGTGTTGCTTTGCTTGAAGACGCATTAACAATAAAAAGAATGTGTTTTAAAATTGACTCAAAATATTTTAACTGGTTAATTCGACTGGATGAAATCATAGTTTGAAGCTAACATATCTGAGTCTGTGCACATCTTACACTATGCAATTTTTGGTGAAATTTGTCAACTCTGACTGCCCAAAATCTGCAGACTGGCTCTGACTTTCAGCAACAAGCGCCGACTCATCCAGACTGCAAATCAAGGCATAAATCTGGGCAAAAGTTGCGTAGTGTATTCCAGAATTTAGGCTCACAATGTTTTTGGGAAACGCAGCTGTGATCAGTTCCGAATGGATAAATCGAATTGAATTTCATGGGTTGTGAATGTCATTTTATGACTCTTTTTTTTTTTTACTGACTATTTCCCTCGTACGCTAAAACGCCACATGCAAGAATATTTATTTAGGTAAGCATCATTTACTTCAGAATTGGATTTCTTGCTAAACAGTTTGCTAAACAACTCTTAACATGTTTAGTATCATATTTTGTTGTTAGTACTTCAGAACTTTTTAATCCAGAGTGTTTAAATCTGTGCTAAAAACATGAAATCTTGACATCAACATTAGCACAGGGTTAAGTGTAGTGTGAAAAGCCTCTGTTTGCTGTCGGGCCAAACAGGTTTCTATATTTAACATTCTCCCCTGACTGTAAAAAAAAAAAAAAAAACAGGAGAAATTTATAGGCTGAAATCCTGCCATGTTTCATAAACAGAACATATAAAACTATCCCAGGCAGGTAAAGATTAGCCAGAGGCACAGTCTGTTGACAGATTATTGTTTGAACATGTTGTTTCTCGTGTCATGTGGGACTCATGTGGCACACAGGAAGAATCGCAACGTGCATCGAACGTCTCGGGTTCTCCTCAGACTCACGCATGCGGTCAACCAGATTTGTTGAGCTCTCCGCATGGTTTTCAGTGGCAACCGTTTAACTTTTTTCACACCTGCATGAAACAGATCACCTTTTATTTCAGTCCTAGAAAGATTTAGGTATATTTCTTTCTTCAGAATCAGAATGGCTCTATTGCATGTTTTTCAACTGCAAAGTAGGGCAACCACACAACCTGGGTATGTTAGCAGCATGCACTATCACGCTAACCAGTATGCTGTCAGAATACAAAGCCTCAATGTGCCCATAAGGAAACGGCCATGCCTGAAGTTAGCCTGAGGCTGGAAAGTGTGCATCATTGAAAGAATTGAAGAGTCCTGAGATGGCTCAGGCCTTCCAGCATGCCTCTCACTTTGGACCTTTCATACCCACTCAAGAGATCTGTGCTGTTTTACTGCTAGATCTAAAGGTGAGAAAGACAACCAAAAAGAAATTAAAATCCTTATTCATGTAGTGTGGTTTTAGTCTAGGGGTACTTCAGGCCTGGGGAAAATATCAAATACTTTATACTTAAGGTACTTCCGTATATTTCCACTAGTCTGGGTTGACATCAGAACAAGGATAAGCTTATCAAAAAGTCATGAAATTCTCAGCTTGAAAGGTGAAAAACACTAGATGTTAGACAATCGTAAAGTACGGTCAGTGATGTCTGAGGTTTGCTAATTGTTTTTGCTGGATTCAGAGCTTGGGGAAAAAAATACAATATTTAATTTTTCAAAAGCATTAGTCCTTTTATTGCGACTAGGCTGTGTTTTGGGACAGCCTATATGATGACTTTCATCACTGTGTATAGAAAGCAGTCATAGACAACCATACATTTTGCACCCCTAAAGCTGCAGAGCCCATTTGCATTCTGGCCAGTATTGAGTGGGTTCCTTTCGTTCCGCTTTACACCTACTGTTATTTCCTGGGAAGTTCCTACATGGGAAAAATGATAGAAATCAAAGTTATGTTGTGATATGAAGTTATTTTGGACTGAATAAAATGAACGCATTGGGCTATTTAATTTATCTCTTTTTCACTTTCTGACAAACACAGGAAGCTTTTTAGTGCTTCTGCAGTAAATGAATGAGCAAAAGATGCACATTAGGTGTAATTGATACTTGGTGTGTTTTACGGGAATACCCACTCAAGGGAAAAGTACTCTTGTTGCACAAGCCTGCCACCTCATAAATCATCTATATGAGTAATATTTTCTGGCAAGCTTAATCACTCTTCTTCATTAACAGTACACACAATGCTTACAAACTAAACTATAATGTCAAAATTCACAATTACAGTTTATCGAGAATACTAATGAGCATCCACCATGAATCTTTAATCAAGACACCCCCGACTCTGGAAGTTGGGGCTAAAAGAAAATCCAGTGTTTGTCACTGGCAGTTGTGACATGGATGGCATTCATCTCATTCTGACATGACTCTGACAAGGCAGTAGGTTATACAGTGCAATAGTAGGTGTAAATTGTGGCTTAGAGTTGTAAATCTTATACCCTGTTGAGTTTAGAGTTAACCAGAAATAACCAGTCCATAAAAAATCTTCACATGTAGGCAATGTGCGGGCGTTTTCTTATTTTCTGTGAAATGATTAATAAGAGGGCTAATTCAGCACACTTTGCTCAAAACCAATCTAAAACCATTGCCACATCAAAAATGTAAGTGCTATTCATCACTTTCAGTCTATCAGCCCTGTGACAAACTTTACCTTACAGAGCTCTGCAGATTTGTGGTTCACCTTCTTTAACAATTCATAGAATATTCATATAGCTTCAGGGAAAGGCATTCAAAAAAAAACTGTTACACTTGTTATTACTTGCACTACTGTCTGTACATCCAGAATACTGAATGATCCATTTGCACACTGGAATATTTTCTATGCACTTTTTAAAATGTCCATTGCACTTGTGTTTTGTACAGCTTAATGTATCGCTTACATATTCATTGGTAAATGATGTTCATATGTTCATACTTTTCTGCTTATAGTGTACATAAACTTATTACATAATCCATCTGTATAGTATGTTCATAGTACACCTATCTGTATATCATGCTGATAGTATTTAAAAATCTGTAAATTATGTCCATAGTACTGCCTTATCTGTATATTTATTGTACATTTGTAACATATTGGAGACACTGTATATCCTGTACTTACTGCTTATTGCACTTCTGGTTAGATGCTAACTGCATTTCGTTGCCTTGTACCTTACATGTGCAATGACAATAAAGTTGAATCTAATCTAATCTAAATAGTCCTCTTGTCGCCAAGAAAAGTGCTATTTGTGATCAGACCTTGCAGAATAAAAGTATTTTTTTTTATCTTTCCAACCTCAAACCTTTGAATGGTAGCATATCACTGTCACAAGAATATTAAGCTGCAAAAACAAGTTTTCAGTAATGAGAATAATAAATGTTTCTTGAGCACCAAATCGGCATATCTGAATGATAAAATTACATTTGAAAATATA